TTTTGGGTCACGGGGGTCGCTGGTGCCCATGTCCAGCAATCACTGTGCGAGGGGCGGGGTACACCCTGGACGGGTCGCAAGTCCATCACAGGGCCACATAGAGACAAACGAGACAAACAAACATTCACTCTCTCACTCACACCTAGGGACAATTTAGAGTTACCAATCAGCCTAACATGCATGTTTTTGGACTGTGGGAGGAAACCGGAGTACCCGGAGAAAACCCACGCATGCACGGAGAGAACATGCAAACTCCACCCAGAAAGGCCCCTGGACCGGGGTTTGAACCAAGGACCTGCTCGCTGAGAGGCAGCAGCTCTACCAGTTGCGCCACCGTGCTGCCTCCGACATGAAATACTTTTGCCAAAACAAACATGGAAGTTCGTCCAAGCAACACTATGTTGGATCGTTCGAGGCCCCGGTTGACAACGACCGCCATCACTGCTGTTGATGAACAGTGCCAGCAGAAATTGTGTTACTGTTAGTTGAAGACCACCAGGAGGGAAACATGTCAGGAGACACAGGGAGAGGAGGAAAGTGAAGAGTTTAGGTAGAAACTTTAAATGTGAGGACAATGACAGGCAACGGTGGAGTTGGCTGACATGATGCAGAGAAGGAAGGTAGATGTTTTATGTGTCCAAGAGATCAAGCGGAAGGGCAGCAAGGCTCGAAACACTGGGGCAGGGTTTAAACTGTTTTACCACAGTGTGGATAGAAAGAGAAATGGAGTAGGGCTGGTCCTGAAGGAGGAGTTGGCAAAGAAAGTAGTAGAGGTGAAAAGAGTGTCAGACAGGGTGATGTGTCTGAAGTTAGAAGTAGAAGGTCTGATGTTAAATGTTGTCAGTGGTTATGCTCCACAGGTTGGATGTGATGGGGAGGAGAAAGATATATTTTGGAAGGATCTGGATGAAGTGATGAGTATTACCAGGGAGGAGAGTGGTGATCGGAGCAGACCTGAATGGACATGTTGGTGAAGGAAACAGGAGATGAGGAAGTGATGGGTAGGTTTGGTGTCAAGGAACCAGGAAGGACAGATGGTGGTGGATTTTACCAAGAGAATGGAAACGGCTGAAGTCAACACCCATTTCCAAAAAGGAAAGAACATAGTGACCTATAAGAGCGGAGGAAGGAGTACGCAGGTCGACTACATTCTGTGTAGCAGAGGAAACCTGAGCGATGGAGGACGACTCACTGCGGTCACCCCTGAAGAGGAAAGAGCCAAAAGACGATACAGATGTGGATTTTCAATCTTGACTAATTTATCATGTTCATTTTTAATGTGGCTGTGTTTAAATGCTTCTAGATTATATATATATATATATTCTAGTATATATATATATATATATATATATATATATATATATAAGCCTCTTTGCAACTCAGTGCATGAACAGCAAGTCACATTTTTTTATTTAAACAACTTATTTAGCTAAACTAACATAAACTCTTACTGTTTAAGCATTTTGTTCAAATGTTAGATCTAAACATATAGAAAACATGCTACAATCACAGACATCTTTAAAACCGTCTACTAGAATCCTATAAAACAAAGTGCTGATGTTTAGAAGTATTTGTAACTTAATTTGAAAGACAATATTTTTATTTTCAATGTGTGATTTTAATTTTCAGACCAGTTTTAGTGGGAGACCATCGCATCTCACAACCAGTAAAATGGAATTTAAAAAAAAAAAATACAATTATTGTTAAGAACACACCAACGTTAACATTAAAATACACTTTTTGCATTTATTTTGACCTTTTGATCCAGATGATTTATATGAATATTATATTAAACAAAATGTCTTTAATCCAACTACTGGATAATTAACTTGTTCTTGGGCACAAAATATAAATATGGATTTACTGGCTGATAAAAATTGACGTGACAAATTATTTTTATTTTATTGTGTCTCAGACACGACTAGTTCCATTAATCAATGTTTAATGTTAAGTGTTAGGCTAAAAAACTAATTGTCTTTACATATTGTTTTAAAAATTTCCATCTACAGTTTAGTTTGAAGAAATAAAACAATTATGTTTTTGTCTTCAGTTATTGTTCTGTCTTTCAGTCTGTTAAAAAAAAAAAAAAAAAAAACATTCAATATGTTTAAAGCTCTGGCATTAATAATTTCTGTCTACATTCAGTCAAATTCCAACAAAAAAAAAAGCAAACGGCAAGCAAATTTTCTAACTTTATTGTAAAAATACTTTAGATACATACAACCTGTACATAAACAGTTTCCAGAATCTTCAAATAAAAAGTCTCTAAATGAAAGTGAAAAGGAAATCCTTGGAAACAAAAACAGGACAATAAATCAGGACATCTGCATGTGCAAGGCATTTGTTTTCACAATCATGACAATCTGAAACTTTCTGTCAGAGGAAACACTTTTTTCCTTTACAGAATTTTATCCAAGTTTTATATTTTTGACATTTGTGGAGCTCAAAGGACTCGTTTTTGTTCGGATCGGTCATTTATGAGATCAGCCGCTGGGACGCTCAGTTTTCAAACTTCAAAGAAGAAAAGACGGTAAGGAAGTGTAAAGGCCTCCTGACCGTGGGCACGGGTCAGTGGTTCTGTTAGTGTCCACATGTCGGAGCACCAAACTGGTTTCATTTAGATATTTAGAAACTGAAATCCAGAGTTCAAAGTTCACAATTGGCACTGCTGAGCGTGGCCTTTTGGTCATCGTTTATATTGAAAGTAAAACCTAAAAGGTGGGCTTCCAAGCTTGACGAACCATCAGCAACATGCTTTGACCCGTTTAAGCTGCTCCATTCAATACTTTAGGACTTTTAGGGGGAGGTTTGGTGTGGACTGGCCCGGTTCAGGCTTTTAGGAGCACTGGATTGTCAGTCACACAAAAACAGGCCCAGAAACATCAAACTTATGTGAAACCAAACGAAGTGAATGAAAAACAAACGAAGAGGCTCATCAAAGGGTCAATAATGTGATACTTTATAAAACCGGTGTTTAAATCCTGCCTACACACTCACAAACTCACATTTTCTCTTTATAAAAATTAGATCATGTAACAATCATTTTTTGTTTTTCTGCCTCACGCTCACGTTTTCAAAGCGGCAGTGCTTCAACTCTCCTGCTGTGGGTTCTCTCTTTCTGTCCCGCTCCCTCGCAGCTCCAACATCTGTGAGGCACAAGTCGTGACACGGTTCCTGGATCCTCAGTCCTAGATGCTGATGCTCCCCCCTCACTCGTTGAGGGATAGGATGATGTCATCCTCAAGGTCAGAGTTGTCCGAGCTGTCTGTTTGTGTGAAAGACAAAATACGGATTTAGAAATTTGGGAATACAGATTTTCTGCTGAGTCGGTCGGTGCGTAAGGAGAAAAGTGCCAAAATGGCAGAAAACAAAGCAGCTTTGTTGCTCCATGTCCAGCTGCTCTGTTTTCAGTGTCAGCAGCTGAAATAAAGTGACAGACGGCAGTCTGTGACCAGACATCATGAGAAATACAGAAACTGTTCAGGTTAAAAGAATTTTAGGACCAGACTTTAAAAATGAACTGCATACAAGTCCCGTCTATGTAGCTCAGCAATTTATTAAAAGTCAGCTCAACAGATCTTATAGCTTCATATTTTCCTAACCGAGCACTTCGCTCTCAAGACTGCAGGTTAACTTGTGATTCCTATAGTTTCCAGAAGCAGAATGGGAGGAAGATCTTCCAGTTATCAGGCTCCTCTCTTGTAGAACCATCTTCCAGTTTCCGTCTGTGAGGCTGACACATTGTCCAGTTTTAAGACTGGGATTAAGACTTTCCTTTCTGGTAAATCCTATAGTTACGGTTGGCTTGTTATGCTGCTATAGGCTTAGACTACTAGAGGACAAATAGACCTCACTTCCTTAAATTAATTGTTACAATTCAATAGTTTTCATTTGATACTATTTCTATTTTAACATGTGATTCTTGACCTGCCATTGTGTATCTGTTCCTCTCAAATCCAGCCGGTCAAAGTAGATGGCTGCGTGTCCTGAGCCTGGTTCTGCTAAAGGTTTCTTCCTCATGAGGGAGTTTTTCCTTCCCACTGTCGCCTTCATGCTTGCTGCAGATGAGTGTCTGTGATGGAGTTAAATTCAAAGCAGTTGCTCCTCATTTAAATAATGTTCATTATTATATTTATATGTAAATGTTTCTGTTCAGTGCCCTGAGAAGACTTCTGTTATGACTTGGCGCTGTATAAATAAACTGAACTGAACTAAATAGTTAACCAGAAGCACTAAATAAAGATTTTAATAGTGGCCAGGGTATAATATAAGATGGAGCTAGGTTGTTGAGAGCTTTGTAGGTTAGGAATAAAATGTTGAATTCAGTTCTGGACTTGACAGGGAGCCAGTGGAGAGAAGCTAAAACTGGAGAGATATGATCTCTCCCACTAACTCCAGTTCAGACTCTGGCAGCAGCATTTTGGATCAACTGAAGACTTTTTAAAGTATTTGGACACCCAGATAATAAACCATTGCAATAGTCCAGTCTAGACGTGACAAATGCATGAACCAGTTTTTCTGCATCATTTGTAGACAGGCAGTTATAAAAGATTTAGAATTTTTTCTTTCTCCAAAAATATTAGAAAATAAAATGTTAGAACAAAACATTTATCAGATTTACAGTAAAACAGATTCTTTATAACGCACCAGTGAAACGCAGCAACGTAAAAACCTCTTTAAATACAAGTCTGTAGGTTAAAAGTAATGCGGTTTGTACAAACACTATAAAAAGCTGTCATATGAAGAACATCTCTGTTAACATGTTCAAATTAATTAGGTTTTGATTCTAGATACATTTTCCCATACACTCTAAAAAAAGTTTGTACCAGATCACTGAATCCTCCTCAGCAGTGATCAAACAAAATCACCCTGGATCAAATGGTGTAGCGACCCGAGCGCACGCTGAGCTGTTTTCCACACATTAACCAATATCCAAGACTCAACTCCACCATCAGGAGAACCATGACCATTAAGTGAGAAATCAAAGGCAGCAAAGGTTGTTTGGACACATGACTGAAATCTAACAGGGTTTTGTTTCCTGTATTTGAGTCAACCTGGAAGGATTACTTGTGCTTCTAAACTTTTTTTTTTATTTTTTTATTTTTTTAAGCAACCCTTTAAGAATTTTATTACTGAAATTGACCTTCATGATCATCTACGTATGACGCTGGACCTCCTTACATGCATAGTTGCTTCCAGTCCTCACGGTTAGGTTTCAGAAGATGTTCATGGTAGAACTAGAAATAAGAAAAATGTGACTAAATAAAAACTAAATGTTTTGGATTAAACTGGAACAATTTTTCTCAAAAAACAATTCACAGTTAAATATTTTGTTGTAGTTTTTGTCATATCTGATCTTGAAAGCAAACGGTAAAAACAATTTACAAAATTATTTTTTAATAATGTCGTGTGTAATATTTTTGCCTGATTCATGTGTTTTTTAACAGTTTGTTTTCCTGTTTGTTTTTTCTTAATTATTAGAATTTCATTAAAAAACGTGGTAATTTGTTTATTTAAAAAAACTTAAAGCTTGGAGTTTCATCACAAAGTCTTCAAATGGTCTTCAGGATCCATACGGAGAATCTTTTTGACAACTTTGAAATGACTCTGTTTTCCAAACCACCACATCACCCGCACACCGACTTTAAAGTTCAAAAACTGAGTGGAGTATCCTCTACACCCGTTCAAACATCAAGTGAAGAGTAACAAAGTGTGCGGTGGGGGTCTGAGATTTCAGACAGCTGCATAGGTGTCCTTCCCATCGTTCAAATATTTGACAGGTCAAGACCTATCAAGTTCTCACATCCTACCTCTAACTGAACCGTAATGAGACAAGTGATGGGTAAAAACCTGCAGCTTTTAGATCTGCAAGTATCAAAGTTTTTGTTTTTCCAAAACCTTTGATACAATTAGTATTAGTATTCTTCTTCTTCTTTTGGCTTTTCCCTCTTCAGGAGTCTCCACAGTGAGTCATCCTCCTCCATCTTTGTCCTCTGCATCCTCTGTCCTCATTCAAACTACCTCCATGTCTTCTCTAACTGCATCCATATGTCTCCTCTGTCTTTTTCCTGGCAGCTGCATTTCTAACATCCTTCTACCAGTATATCCACTGTTAATCCTCTGGACATGTCCAAACCACTGTCCATCTTCTGGACATGTCCAAACCATCTCAGTCTGGTCTCTCTAACTTTATCTCCCACTTGTTCAACCTGTGCTGTACCTCTGATGATCTCATTCCTAATCTTAGCCATCCTTGTCACTCATAATAACCTCAACATCTTCATTTCTGCCACTTCCAGTTCTGTCTCCTGTCTTTTTGTCCATCTTACTGTCTCCAGACCATACAATATAGCTGGTTTCACTTTTCCTTTGACCTTTGCTGACACCCTTTTGTCACAATCACTCCTGAAACTTTTCTCCATCCACTCCATCCTGCCTGGACTCTATTCTTCACCTCTTTACCACACTCCCCATGTTCCTGGACAGTGGACCCCAAGTCCTTGAAGTCCTGCACCTTTGTGACCTCTGCTCCTTGTAGCCTCACTGTTCCAACAGCCTCCCTCTCAGTCACCCACATGTACTCTGTCTTACTACGGATGACTTTCATTCGTCTTCTTTCAAGTGCACACCTCCACCTCTCCAAGTTCTTTTCCACCTGCTCCTTGTTCTCACCACAGATCACAATGTCATCTGCATACATCATCATCCATGGGGATTCCTGCCTGCCCTCATCTGTTAGTCAGTCCATCACCAGAGCAAACAAGAAGGGGCTCAGAGCTGATCCTTGATGCACTCCCACCTCCACCTTGAAGCTATCTGTCACTCCTACAGCACATCTCGCCACTGTCCTGCTGTCCTCATACATGTCCTGTACCAGTCTAACATACTTCTCTGCCACCCCAGATTTCCTCGTGCAATACCACACCTCCTCTCTCGGCACTCTGTCATATGTTTTTTCTAAATCTACAAAGACACAATGGAGTTCTTTCTGACCCTCTCTGTATTTCCCCATCAGGATCCTCAAAGCAAAGATGGCATCTGTGGTGCTCTTTCTTGGCATGAAACCATACTGCTGCTCACAAATAGTCACCTCTCATCTAAGTCTTTCTTCTAGAACTCTCTCCCAGATCTTCATCGTGTGGCTCATCAACTTAATTCCCCTGTAGTTGCTACAACTCTGTGCGTCACCCTTGTTCTTAAAAATGGGCACCAGCACACTTCTTCTCCATTCCTCAGGCATTTTCTCACCCTCAAAATATGCCATTGAATATTTGGGTCAAAAACCTCACTGCCATCTCTCCAAGACATTTCCAAACCTCCACTGGTCATCAGGTCCTACTGCCTTCCCCTTCTTCATTCTTTTCAGAGATGTTCAAACTTCACCCTCACAAATCTTCCCCACTTCCTGGTCCACAGTTTCTATGACCTCCACTCTTCTTTCTCTTTCATTCATTAGCTCCTCAGAGTACTCCTTCCATCTTCTCGTCACACTCTCTTCACTTGTTAGAACAAGGGGGAAAAAAACAAAGCAACAAAAAACTAAAAAAGATAGGATGAAAGATGGAAAATAAAAGATGAACTTGAGTGAGAACATGGAGTAGTTATTGTTGTGGGACCATAATCTTTAAAGAAATTAAACATTCAGACGTTCTGTAAATCTGAACGTTAACTTTGCACCCGTCCAAGGACAGACAGAAAAGATTCACCAAATATTAGTGAGACTTGATAAGATCCTGTAGACACTAGAAGCTCTAAGGTTGCTCACCATTGTCTCCATCCAGATCAACATCATCATTATCAGTGTCATCCTCGTCGTTGTCATCGTCGTCCTCTTCGTCGTCATCATCCCCAGCATCACCATCATCTTCAAGAAGACGTGCGACCTCCTCATCAGAGGGAGAGAAATCATCGTTACCATCATCCTCATCGTCATCGTCTTCATCCTCGCCACCGTTCTCATTTTCCAGTTCGGCAATGAGAGGATCGGTGTCAACGTCATCATCTGAATCGTCATCATCGTCGTCGTCGTCTTCCTCCTGATCCTCATCCTCCTGCAACATGTAAAGGGTTCAGTTATAAAACCGTCTTAGGTCTGCGTAAAAAGAAGCCAAAGGGATGCTGCTTTATCAAAATCAAAGATTTTAAACCTGATCCTCCTCATCCTCTTCCTCTTCCTCTGCAAGTCTCTGCCGACCAACTTCATAGAGCCGACACACAGTGTCAGTGTTGACCGAGTCTTGGTTCTATGGGACATTTAAAAGATTGTCTTTATTTTGTTTTAGGATGCATTTTAAACCTTTATGTAGATGAAGTGATGAAACAATCATTTACCTCAATGACGGCGAGATAGCAGTCTTTAGTATCTGTGCAAAGGTCAAATATATTCCTCTTGACATCAATTGTGGCTGCAGAGATAAAAAAACAAACAAACATGAGTCATTTCTATTAATATTGTTTATGTGGCATGATACCGCCATAATTAAATCAATAACTTACTGATACATTTTATAACATCACAAAAAATATACTTGATTAAGACAAAAAACTTTTCACATCAGTTAAAGTGGGTTAAAAGAAAGTCTTACCAATTGGTTTATAATCTGTGGCGTTGAAGGTCCTGAACGATGATCCAAATGGACTTTTCATCTGCATTTCCATCATGTCGCTTTCATCATCAGCTTGCAACATTGCTATAAAACCAAGAGACACGGTGAGTCGATAATAGCTGAGCACAGCAACCTGGTTAGCTGCAGTTTGGCTCAAGAGTGGCTGAAATGTCATATGTTCAGCTCCATCACTGTGGCTCCTCCTGTGACGAGCTGTGAACAAGGTGTTTCTTTCTCTGTTGCCAATCCAACACTGAGCCTTCTGGCCATATGGCTCCGACTGTAGCATCAAGTGCGCACACACACAAACACCTCTACGGGTTCAGTTCACACCTTTGTCCAAATAAACACACGCTCATTTTGCTTCAGATTTACCAGATTTCAATTTAAACGGCACCAGCAACAGGCTAACTGTGAACTGGGCTCCTAGTGACTCGAGTATTTACCTCCATAGATGACGGTGCCGCTATTGTTGAAAACTATTCTGCACTGGTCCAGAGCAGGGACCGTGTGGAGGAGGTGGAAGGTACGCAGATCCCACTGAAACTCAAGAGTTAAGCACCAAAACATTTGTTTCAATTTCTCTTAAACTAAACAACGATTACAATCCTCTCTTGGGAAATAAAAGGATTTATACTGAGATAAATATTTAATGTTTCACAGTGAAGTAAAACCTAATTGGTCATCCCACCAACAGAGAATTGGATCAATGAAAGAACTGATTTACGTCCAGGTCAGATTTATGCCTCCACTTTTCAACAGGCACCCCCTTAGCTTCAATAATGTAGAACAACTAGGCCTCTAAATTATTTTAACTAATGGTGGTGTAGAACATTTACAGTTTAAAATAATGACTTATACTTTAAGAATACTATTTTTTAATGTAAATCCCTAATCTTTATACAAAACGTACGCACAAATTTTGTAAAAGGTGATTAAATATATTTCGTAAAAAGGTAAAAACAGGATTTTCCTAAACTTTGCTGGTAAAATCAGATTTCAGTGCAAAAGGATACGATCTCTGTGTTGATGATGACCTCCAGGCCGTTGGGGTGGAACACACCACTGATGTTCATGTTGAACTTGTCAAACTTGTGGATGGCCTGAGCCGTACGTACGTCCCACAGAACGCCATCGTTCAGAACCAGGTCGTCTGTTGGGTTGAAGGTGGCACAGTTCCTCTTGTAGCTGTTTGCCAGGTCAGGGTTGCTCAGAGTCTGAGTAATCTGACCGGTCTGGATGTCATAAATCTTGAAAGAAGAAGCAGAAAAAGTGAGCACTCAACATTTCACTGCATATCTTTATATGCTTTAATGAGTCAAATGAAAATGTAAAAATAAAACAAGATATACATACACGTGCTACATGTTCTTTAGTCCCAATGACCCGGTCCTGTGAAAGCTTACTGAACTCCACATAGTGGTCCCCCTGGAAGGAATGCCTGAAGACAATTAAAGTGACTTTAACATTTAATCTGAAACAGCTAATGTGAAATAAAAAGCAGAGCACATGAAGTTATGTAACTTGCTTGGAAAATAAGTATATTCCAAGATTTTTTTTTTTTTAAGTTTGACAGTGTGGAAGAATGGCTCTGAAGAATATGTTCCTTAGAACGTTAGTTTGCATAATAAAACACCACATCACGCGCCTTTGTTGGCTTTGTTTAACAGAATCAAACTACTGTACTATCAAACAAAGACAACCCCAGAAATAGAAGAATCAGGATCACACACAAGCAAGAGGACTGTGCTGACTGACAGTAATCATGTGGTAATGTTTCAAGTCATTTAAGCAGTGAGTTTAATGTATTGCATGTACCGTATTTTTCACCGTATAAGTCGCACCTTTTGGCATACATTTGCAAGTCCTACGACTTATACAGCGAAGGGACTCAAATACATTTTTTCCAACATTTGTAACTCAATTTTTGTCTGAGATCTGACGATTTCATTCATTCTGACACGGAAAATATTGAACACTACCATGTTCAGTCACTAGAGGGCCCTCAACTAAAATGGTAAGCAAAGTGTCTCACTAATAGGTAAAAGTGGTTATTAATGAGACGCTTGGCTTGCCATACAAGCCACCTTTGTCTTGCTCTGGAACTCGTGGAGCAAACGTCAAATCAGCTGCATTTTGCAGCGCCGCCCAGGAGAAATGAAGCTGATTTGACCAGTAAAGTGGATTTATTAAGGAAAAGTTTGAGACACACCTTTACTATAATGTTGAGCAAACAAATAATTGTTTTTAGGTCGTTATCTTGTTAAATTTAGAAGAAATGCACAGCAAGTCCTCCATCTTCGTGCTCCAGAAGCCACAAATCGATTTTTGAAATGCAGCTGATTTGACCATTAAAGTGCATTTATTAAGGAAAAGTTAAACTGAGACACAATCTTGCTATAATTTTGAGCAAACAACTTGTTTTTAAGTGTTAATCTTGTTAAATTATTGTTAAAAGTCCTCCCATGCAAGCTCACGTGGCCGCCATTTGGCAGCCAATCGATTTTTGGCACAACACCGGCCCACGTTTCCAGGTTGTCCGTGGTGACGAGTAATAGATGCGACTTATTTTTGTTTTTCCCACTTTATTAGACATTTTTGGACTGGTTTGACTTATACGGCGGTGCGACATGTACGGCGGCAAGTACGGTAGAAGTAAAAAAAACTTGTCTTACTTAATAATGAACACTGATTTCATCCCCCAGAGTCCAGACATAGGGTAAGTCCAAGAGGCTGACGTTAAGAGCAGAGACCCATCCTGAAAATACCAAACGTGAAGGTTAGAGATTTTCTCTTAAGACATAAGAAACATGTAAATTATTAAACATCTAACAAACAGAATTATCCCATTCTCTACAGACCCGTGAGGGCTCCAGGTGAGTGATTGCTGAATTGTGACAGGTGTAACTAGCTTCTTCTTGGCCTGTAAACACATTATAGAGCTTGAGCTGTCCCGTACACGTCCCCAGCATCAGGAACCGTTCACGAGCAGAAAAGGCACAACATGTAAATCCACTCTCATCCTCATCTGCCTCCCTGAACACAGAGATGGGCCGAAACCTGTACAAAAACAAGAACAACAACAAAAAAAAAGAAAGTTTAAAGAAAAGGGCTGTGGAGGATGAGCAGGAAGTGAACATTAAAAACAAAAAGCTGCCAACCTGCTGAAAATAAGATGTCTGTCAAAGCATCCTCCATCAACACCTCCGTATTTTGGGTAGATGACTCTCTGAGAGTGTCGGGATGTAAAATTGATGGGCGCTTGTCGTCTCTGTTTGGGCTCGGGACATTGATGGGGAGTGAAAAGAGAGAAAGGTGGGCAGGTTGCAACAGGGTTTTTACAGCGTGCGTGCTGTTCCCTCAGGTACTCTGTAATTATGCTGTCCAGGGCAGGTGGGGAAGGCAAGTGTCTGTCAAACTGCTTCTTCATGGCTGGACTCTGGCTGAAGGCCCCGTGGTCAGACTTCTGTCGAAGCACTCGAGGTTTCTTGCAGTTTACTGTACTACACGGTGTTTGTCGTTCACGAGAGAAAATGATGCGCCCAATCAGTGGGGAGCCAGTGTTGCAGTGTGGGACAGAAGATGGTGGGACGGTACTGGAGGAAGGAACAGCCAGTTGTGATGTGGAGGGACGCGTTTGGGGATGGCTGGATCCTGGGGTGGATGAATGAGAGGGATGGTTACCAAGTCTTGAAACAACACCACTGGCCAGCCGTGGGGTGCGGGGCAGTGTAGCAACGGGGGAGGCGGTTGGGGGAGGAGCAACAGAAGGGAAAGCAGAAGTCGAATGTGAACAGTGGGACAGACACGCCATGGGGAGATCTGCCTCTTTGGTGAGAGTCGTTGCCGTGTCGAGCAGGCCTTTGGCCATGAGGTGGTTCCTAATAAGAAGCAGCAGCTCCTTCTCGGGGAAGGTGATCTTGGACTGAGCGACTACACTGGCCCTCTGCAACCATGCTAGTGACACATCTGTGCCAATCAGCAATGGTTTCCCTGAGATCCTTTCCATCAGTTCGGCAGCAAACTTACAGAACTTGACATGTTCGCTGCGTTTGTCCTGGAGCACGGGCTCCTTCATGAGCTGCTGGATGTGTCCGCTGCTGAACAACGGCAGCTTGCTGATGATTTGTCTGACAGAGCTGGAGCGGGAGAGTCCCACCAGAGCTTTACAGGCAAGAGCTCGGATCTGATCAGCATCTGTAATGGGCATCTTCACTGTTAGCAGGAACAGCAGCACCTGGGGAAAAGATGCAACATGAGATGTCACACAGTGGGTCACAAAACTAGAGACATCGCTGAAAAGTGTTTCTTTGAAACAACAAATGGCTTCCAGTCTGTAGTGTTTACATTAAAGTACGTGATACTTTACTGGCTTTGTGTTTCTGTTATATCTCCTTAACAAATGGAAACACGTTTGTGTGGAAAAAAAAAAAAACATTTTAAAGAGCAATAAAAGACCTTAGAATTTCTTTTCCAACTTTTGCATGACAAAAAGTAGTCGGTAATGTTTACAAAAAAGTATTGCTTCTTTTGTGATCCGAGTATCCAAACAGTATAAATAAGTCTGTCTGTCCTCTCATCCATCTCGTTCTTTTGGTCACTATACCCATGAAGCACGAATAAGTCACAAGACAAAACTTCACATCTCCTGAAGTTCAGTTACTTCAATAAATGCTGCAGCAACCGGGTTTTGTTCAATGTAAGAATTTGAGTGTATGTTAAACAACGTGAGGTCCAAAGTCAAACATTAAGGAGTGCACATCTGCCTTGATTCAAACTTAAAGCTGTTTGATACTGAAGCATTAATCAGGATGTGGCTGCAGATAAGTGAAAAACTTGCAATTAGGCCTGTCACAATAACACATTTTGCTGGGCGATTAATTGTCTCAGAATTTATTGCGATAAACGATAATATTGTTTGAAATTTGACAATAATTACTATTGTCAACTTTAAGAAGAAATGTTTGTTTTACATGTAGTACCTTTTTTCAACCACCGGACGGCA